GCAGTCGTCCGTGCAAAAGTTCTACCCAGTTTTCGGCCAAGTCGTTTCAGCTTCCTCTGTTCCCTACGATATTGAATATCGAACCATCGATGTTTGGATTGGAGGGACCTCTTTCCTTTGTAGTATGGTTTGAGCATACTAGTTTCGGTGGCACAGTATATGATAACAGCAATCAGATTTTATTTGAGGTCATCGTTGTCTTAGTCACAGAAATTTACATGAAGGTTCGGCGAGGCTTGGAGGTTGGTTCTGTACTTAACATCATTCTCATCTATCCATCTAAGCAAGGGGGAACTTTCATTCGCAGGTATAATCTCTTCATTATTCACATAGGATTCATTGGAGAAGTCGTGGGGTATGATCAGCTCCACGAGGAGTGGCAAGTGGTTTGAACCGTATAGATCGTATTTGACTAAAATGTCATGAACGAATTATAGCTTGTTCGTGTTGATCCACACTAGGCCGAAGGTGCTGGGTCCTTTAGTGCTGGTGAATTTGCCCGGCATGTCACCCTGGGTTCTTCCATTCAACAATGTGAAGTTGTTTTCCAACATGAAATCGAGCAAAAGGTGTCCGTTGGCATCCGTAATGGATTCTCAGCAGTTTCTCCTTGCGTTAACGTTTGTATCATGGGCTAGTTCTGAAGGGAGGATGTCTTTATCAAGTTCAGCAATTCTCGAGTTGAAGTCCCCACCAAGAAGAACGATGTCATCTTCGAAGCTTAAGAGGATGTCTGAAATAGTTAATTCTAGGAGTTCGAGGAGAGGTTCAAGGGGCAGACGTGGGCTGAAATAGAACGAACCGATCACCGCGTTCCAAGCTAGTATTTTAACTGTCTCAAAAATCTACCAAGGAGGGGAAACTATTCTTTCAGAAGTGAAGTAATTACTCACCAGATATGAGAGTCCTCTACTACCTCTACCTTTGGATTTGCTTTTGGTTGCTAGGGACCATGAGCTGGAGTAATCCTTCAATATTTTATGGGACTTGAAGTTTCTGATAATTTTATAGTTCCTGAAAAGCAGTACACTTGGATGTCCCGTTCAAAGTGATTAATTTAGATGTTGTACATACCTTGGGAGTTCCAGAATTTCACCGTTGATTTACGAAGCTTTTTTACTTTTTTGAATCGGGTGATTGGGTGAGTGTGTCGGTCTCCACTCTTTAAGAGGAGGGTCCCTTTGATCGAGGATTTCGATTCTCTAATTTTCACAGGTCGTGGTTTGTATCGTGGTCAATTTTTACTGGAGATAAAAATGAACGTTATCTCGCCCTTTTCTTTTGGTATTGTCAAAAACCGAACAAAACTCGATGATTGGGCGCCAGTTGTTCTTTGTTCCGACGGAAACAACAAACCGGAATTTATATCAAAGCGGAAAATGCAACGAAAATAAAAAAAAAAGATCCTCAAAACTTGGATCTAAGGGGCCAACGGAAAGGTGACAGTGTGCTCGCGTTACTCAGGAGTGTAAGTTGTGGAGAGAGGGGTAGGTTGAGGTGGAAACAGGTCACTGGGCGCTTATCTGACAAGAAATATACGACACTAATAGTTAATGCTAAAATGCAAATGGCTCCGTTATTCGTAAATTTTACAGAAGGAAAGGTAGTCTCAAATCGCAAGCAAAATCATAGAAAGAACATTCTTCATCCTGAGAGTGAAAGAGAAACATAAAATCAAAATACGATTCATCAAAAAAAAAATTGATAATGATAATATGCATCACCATAATTATTAGGCGCTATATGCAGAGAAACTCATAGAAAAAAAATGAGGAAAATAAGAATAATATTTCCAAATTGATATAACAAAAAAAATCTTTCAAAAGGAAAAAAGGAAAAAAAAGAAGACTTGAAGCGCGTGGACGATAATAATCGCCCGGTCTTAATCCTCAATAATTGGGCTGCAGTTAGCAAAGAAGAAAGACAATTATTTCAAACTGACGAAATAATTCTCGGATAATAGAACGGACAAATTAATAGCGTTAAGAGAAAACCCGAGGTTTCTAACACAAAGCAAACACCACTTGTGAACGAAGGAAAAATCGTTAAACCACGCAGCTAATTACGAAGAAAAGCGCGGGCTCGCTCGACGAGAGCACAAACATAGCACGTGGTTGCTAGAATGCCGGATGCGGCACATAACTCGGTACAGATGCGTGACCTTGAAGCGAAAATCGCATAAATTCGTCCCTAACAGAGGCGCGTGGCATATGGAAAATACCGGAATAAATCCTATCGAAATGTCAACGCATCTAGCTATCGGTTGGTATGCGTAAAATTTAATTAGATCAGCACATTTTTAGCGAAGTGCAATCGCAAGGCCGCAGGCACAGGGCTCGAAGAGAACGAGCCAACGATGAATGCAAGGAATGTCCCTAATTATAACCAATACTCGCACAAAAATCGAAATAAAATTGGCAAAAATCCATAACGCACGGAGAGTCCAGTAATACAATGGGAAACTCCATTATTCGGTACATAATTGACCGAAGTCCCAAACGGTAAGGAACTCGAAGTGATCGAGTCAGCAGTAAACGCAAAGGTGTCTCTAAATGCCGAGAATTTCTCGACTTTTATATCTTAACAACTCAACACCAAATCCACGAAACGCTCGCCAATTCAAGACATCAAAAATTTTCCGGCGAGTGCGAGCGAGATGGATGAAAAACCCACCATCACTCAAAATCCTCAAAAATGATCGCGCAGCTCTGTAATATCTCAGCCTAAGTTACGAAAATTCTATCGGCCCTATATAGTTAATTTTTCCCCATCCAATTAGCAAAACAGAAAGCATGAAACGCAAAAGAAAAGACAAAACAAATCTAAAAATACGAAAGAGGCGTCAGAATGCAAAACAAAATTCCCAATAACAAAAAAAATGATAAGAAAAAAAGGCGTTAGAACGCAAAATCGAAATTCTAACGATTCCAAAATGACTCGAAATCTCCAATTATTAACAAAAATGAATTGACTCGAAACTATTGGCTCGACTGGGTCATTTTCTCTGCGTACTTACGGTTTTCCCGGTAGTTTTTCCGTTGATCCCGCGGCGAGCGAAGGGATTTCCCGAGAATCCCTTACACCCCCCATCTTTGCCGGTTCCAAGTCCGTTTCTGCAGCGGTCAAGGGTTGTTATCCGTGGGTGATGGCTTCCTTCCTTCAGCACTGTAGCAATAGTGCTCTCCTCTGATCAGCATCACTCGAACCCACGACCTGAAATAGAGTCTTATGCTCTATGAATAGAGAGCCGGGCAACCTAATAAACGTATTGCATAGACTTAAGATTATTTATTAATTATAGCCTTTAGGCACTAGGTACATAAAGCACAGCCAGAAAAATGGATTAGTACGCTATTCGTTATGGCAAAAATGGAAAAAAATCCCATTTATGATTTTTCAATACTAGACAGCCGGCAGTGATAAGCTCAAAATCAGCATTGGTAACCCAAGCATAATATAGGCACTCAGCACATTCACCTTTGAACGCTAACATTACCACAAGCAAATGCATAAGGCACAGAGGTAAAAATATTCCATATCTTGATCTAATAATGAATTAAGTATAATTTAATTAAGAACAATAAAGGTCATGGCTTATGACCAAGGTCATGGCTTATGGCCATGGAAGATGTGGAATTCCCAAACTCCAATCTTCAAGTTGTGTCGCGTTTCGCAGTCTCTTATCTCTCCTGGGAAGTTACATTGAGCGGTGGTATCCGCAATGTTTTATTACTCGTAACCGACGACTTTGAGCGGTGGTATCCGCAATATCTCAGATTTCTTGGAGCGAGTAGTTGCAGTAATTTTGGCTTTCTCTAGCACAGGATGACGGCGGTAGCCCTCTCTACTGGGGTGGCTTCTTTGGGGTTTGCCTTTCCAAGAATCGAGCGAGAGCTGTGGGGTCTATTGTCGCGATGTTCTCCAACCACTCATCTGTCGTCATTGGCGCCAGGGTGGTAAGTGTGATGGGGTCGCGTCCTGGTCTGGTAAAAAATCTGATCGACCCAGGTGGCATTAGGGGTGAAGTTGTAGAAGTGGTGGATGGGTTGGCCTGGAGGGCAGCTGTTGTTGGTGCAGCAGGCAATGAAGGCCAAGTCACTTGTCCTGAGGGCGATGGTGGTGATCCTGAAGAATTGGTGGGGGGTTTGGCCCTGGGAGCATCTGTTGGGAGTGTGGCTGCGGCAGCATCGTCGATTGAAGGGGTGGCTCTGGGAGCATCGATGGTGGGGTTGATCTTCAGGGATTCTGATGATGGCCTGAGGCGTTTCGCAGTAGATTCAGCGCAGGTCTGAAATCTGGCGCGTGCCAGTCTGTCCTGGACAGAAACTCTCTCAGTACTGGCAGGGGGCTGAGGTCGAGATGTAGAATAGGCACTGGGGGTGGCTTCTCGACTGGTCAAGAGAGCAGCGTTGGAACCTGCTGGTGCAGTTGAGGTTCTTGACCTGCTAGGGGTGGTTGGCCTATTGGCAGAGGAATCGGAGTCTCCTGAGGTTCGTTAGCGTGTAACGTGCTAGACAGGTGGTATGAGGTGCAGTTTTGGAGTTTGGTTGAGGCTGTTGTCCCTCGAGATTCTGCTCGATGGCCCATCTGGCATTCTCATGGCGCCTGTCCATTACCACGCAAGTGAAAAGGTTGCAGTACCACTTACCACAGGCCACGCAATAGTCGTGCCTCACGACACTGCAACACTCTGGATAACCATGACACTGGTGGCACCTAACGCCACGTTTAGCCTTCCTTGGGGGTGGCAGGTCTTTGTAATCGACGTCTGGGTGAATTGGTGCCAGAGGTTCCTCTGGTCTCGGTTGAGAAAGGTATGGGATACTTGACTCCTGAGGCACTTGCGACGTCGGTGGCTGCTGGAGCATTGTCGTGGTTCATTGGGAGCGAGGCGAGCGAGGCGCGCAGCTTCCTCCAACTGTTCATCCTCGGTGGCGTGAATCTCCAGTATGTCTGAGTAACTGGAGCCGCAATGGGCGGAGATTTTAATCCCAGCGGGATTAGACCTTTGTCCAGTGGTATTTGGTGTGGGTGCTGGGAAACTTGGTGTAGGGGGTAGGAGTGGCAGCGAGTGCATCAGTAGGAAGACCGGAACTGAGTTCCAACGGGGTAGCAGCAGTGGCTGAATCATCAGAACTAAAAATGGCATCTGCTGCAGGAGTCGAAGGTTTGGAGATGGGCTGGGGGTCTCCAAGGGCCATCTGTGCGATTTCCTCGGCGATGCGAGTAGCTTGCTGACCGTCCCCCATTTCAGCATCTTCCTGGGGTGTGTCCACAGGCGGGAAAGGTGGCATTACTGAAAATTCTGTGGGTGGCCTGAAGTTGATCAGGGAGGCGAAAATTCGCAAAATCGGTAGGAAATTGTCGTTCTTCTGGCCAATAGCCCAGATTAACTTCTTGTAAGTTGTCAAGGGGGCCCACAGAATGTGGTCCGGAACTGGGTTGGCAGCTGTGCAGGGTAACGTCGAAGCCTGACTGGGGTTGCTCGTCCTAGTGGCTGGGGGTGTCGGTTTCTCGTGGGTGTGTGTAGGTGACACAGGGTCAACGGGGGCATCAATTCCAGCTGTCTCGACTTCTTCGGCCTCGGGGGAGGCATCCACTTCCATGGGGGCATCGACTGCAGGAATTATGGTGGCTTCTAGAGAAGTAGTGACTGCTGGAGTATGGACCTCAACGGTAGTTGCGATCTTCTCAGTCTGAGCGTCTCCTGACGCAGGGAGTGGAGTCTGGCTCCTCTCGAGGTTGGCGTCCTCCGTCGCAGGTGTCAAGGTGGTGTCCTTCTCGAGGTTGGCGTCCACGGTCGCAGAGTTTGTCTCCATCTTTTCCTCGGGTGCGTCTTTCACGGACTCCTCTCTCTTCTTCTCCTCCATGTTATCTATAAATAAGGACCCAAGCGGAGAAATTTACTTATATCATGATAGAAGGCAAAAAAAAAGCAATATAAAGGCAACTCACGCAACTACAGTTTCTCATCTCAGGCTTCCTACATTAATACTACCGATTATTCAAACGTCTGCATTATCTAACGGCAGCAAATATGGCTTGAGATCTTGCACTGATAGTTCACTTTGATTTTTACCTGAAAAGTCTGCTAATTGATAACGTGTATTCGAGAGTTTCTTGAAAACGAAGTAAGGGCCTTTGTATGGTGGCACAAGGGCAGCAGAAAAGCGCTTAACTACATTAGAGAGCGGATGCGCTCGGCGCACGACGAGATCCCGCTCGTTAAACCCATGTTCCCGACGGCGCAAATTATAATAATGAGATTGTCGGGCTTGTGCTTCCGTCAACGCATGATGCAGGGTCTTACGGAGTATGTCCAGCCGTTTCATGTGCTCTAGCCACTCCTCTGGTGGCCTCGGCTCAACTTCTACTTCACCCTCTATGTCCCTACGGAGGGAAATAGCCGATAAAGGCTCTCGGCAAAAATTGGCAAAAGCAGGTGTACACGATAAGGCGCTATGGAGCGCATTGTTAAACGCAAAACGATATTCGTGGAGATGTAGATCCCACGTACGATGGTCGCTATCGACGAAAGCTCTAAGCATCATTTTTAGAATACGATTAACCCGCTCCACAGGGTTTGCCTGAGGATGATACGGGGGCGACATTTGATATAGCTCTGTCAAAGACATGTTCGATATAGCTCTGTCAAAGGAAAAAAACAAGAGGGATAACTCCATTTAACTATTGAAGTATTGAACATAATTCACGCTAATAAGTCGATGAAATTAGATTAAAAAAACTGCAGAAGGTGAAACTTGTCATGCCAGGAACTCGCTCTCGATTGAACGAAATTCGTGCTTGAATTGGAATAAATTTAGAAAAGGGCAGCCGCAGTCAGTTTTCCGACTCTTCGGTAAAATTTGTATTTTTTTACTTGGAACATTTTACTTCTTCGCTACTGAATTCTATTCTCATGTTTAAAATTCCATCCCGTATAGAAAATTCAATGGCAAAAATCTGTCCCTTTCCTAAGAAATTCTATTGCATTTCTATCGAAACTAGATAAACATTCTATCGGAGTTCTATTAAAATTCTATTAAAGAACCTGTGGCGAATTTAATATTTTTAAAGAATACAAAAAAAATCCGAATATCCAAAGTCTATCTATAGATAATTATGTCGCCCTAATTATCCATTAGGCGACAGTCCGTTTATTTTTTGAGGGTAAAAACGGACAAAACCTCGAAATTTTAGACTTTCCTATCCTTTCGCCTTAACCTTCGATAATTACCCGTACTCTGGTTTACGAGGGGGAGGGAGGACGATACTCCCTCTTCGAACTCCTGAAATAATTGGGAAACCCACAGATTCTCCCCAAAGAATGAAACGCAACACTCAAAATTTATCTTCAGTAAAAATAATATATAGTTCGTGTCAAAATTAATTACAGGAAAAAGAATAATAATTTTAGCGCAACGCTAACAAATCAAACTAAACTCGCGAAATGCGGAGGCGAGACTCCCAGTAAATGTGAATATGTGCAAAATATATGAATTCCAAAACTCGCGGAAATGCACAATTTACTCGCAATCGACTTCAAATAATATTTGACCTTGAGTAGACAACAAAATTATTTAAGTGAGGGGAAAATCCCCCACAAATGATTCAGGACCAAGAAAGAACGAGATTCTCAAGACAAATGAGGTACTTAGCTCGCTCAGCTTTCCTATCCTCGGTTCCCGAATAACTCGGTTCCCGAATGCCAGGTCTCTCAAAAAGATTCCAATAGTGTCGAAGGCGACGCTCCAGAAAATTCTCTAAATTCAATTCTGTTACTAGTACTTTGACTGCTACTGTTGACCAATATACACCTTGACTTGACTATCCTAAGTCTCGGGAGGAACTCACGAGCCTCGGTTTTTGCACGTAGGCCCGCAGCTCCCTAAAATCTAGCGAAAAATGTAAAGAGTGGGGTTAATCCCCCCACGTGACACCTGCTGAATCGTGCGACCCTCTGTCCGTGAGCCCCGAGCCAGTTTACAATTTCTATTATTCATTTTCCTCGATGATCCGTCCTTTAGTCTTCGCTCGCTTAATGTCTGGTCATCGCGCTCCAACCGACTTCAGGTTGTCCTTTGTCCCTCTAGACTTTGGCCACCTTCGGCAACTCGAGGAAGATCGGATGTTTATCATCCTCAGCCTGGGTCCTCTTGGTGTGACCCCGAGAGATTGTTCTCAGGGTCCTCCTCTTCTTGGGTGCCAAATCTCCGATCAAAAATCCGTGTATCAGAAATCCAATTTTGTTGCGTTTTTTGCGCTGTCTCGATGGGTTAATTGAAGGGAAAGGAAGGAGGGGAGTGTGAGCTTCCCCCGAGACTTAAATTTCGAATTCTAGCATAAATTTATATTTGCTCTAAATGTGACAATTGTCACAAACTCCATTTCTTTTTTGCGCTGATTCTATTGATAATTCTGCAGCTTCGTCGTGCGATTTTCGATAAATATTCGATCGGAAAAAGCCAATAGATCCGGATTTTTCTATATGAATCCAGTAGCGAAGAGGTAAAACGGTTCAAGTTGACGTAGCTCCTAGCTAAATTTTTGAGAAATATCTCCGAATCTAAGAGAGACAATTCTCCTACGGACCTTTTTTGTAGGTCTTATTTTGCTCTACAAAAAAGTGTCTATGAAAATTTTCGATCTCTCTTAGATCTGAGATATTCATCAAAAACTGAGCCCCCGATGAAATCGACTTAAACCCTTTTACCTCTTTGCTAGTGAATTATTTTCTTGAGATTTTTTCTATACAAATACTCGGGCATAAATTTCCTCAGTTTTTCTCATTTGAATTTTGTAATGAGAAAAAAAAACAAAATACAGGGGAAGAGACTTGGAAAATTTATGCCCAATAATTTTCGTAGAAAAAAATCTGAAGAGAATAATTCATACAGAGAAATAAAAATCTATTGACTTATTCCCATCAAATACCGATTAACTATTAAAAAATCGCACGGAAAAGTTGCATAATATCCGATAGAATCAGCGCAAAAAACAAATAGAATTTTGTGGAGAATTTTTATGGGATCCCAATAGAATCCGAATGAAATTCCTACAGAGTTCCAATAGAAATTGAATAGAATTCTTTAAAGAAAGCGGCACGTTTTTCTATTTAATTCTTATCATTCCAAAAAAATCCTATCCCTATGCGATTGATGCTTGCCAATCAAACACTAATTTTTTCGTGTAAAATTCACGAATAGACATTAGTAAATTATAAAGGAGGAAAGATGATGAATTCATTGATTGGCCATACAGAAATATGGGTAAATTGTAAAAAAACTGTTTGAGTAGAATAATAATGAAAATTGATTTTGAAGTTGCCGTTTACATGCATACAGTAAGTTAGGTGAACCATTGACAATTTTTTAATTCCCTCTTCATTACCGACTGGTTGATAATGTAGGAAATATATCAACTTATCGATGCCTGATCTAACCTAGCACATGAGTAGCTGCTCCAAACTGTTTTTTTTCACAAAAAAAACTCCAGTCTTGTTTTTATTGTAGTTGAAAATTTTTTCATCTACTGCTGGATCTTTTCTGATTATTAATTCCTTGTGTTTAAGGGATTGTACGGCCTGAAGTTATTGCCAACCGACTAACGACATGTCTGTACTCTTTAAAGTTGTGATGTCCTGAGGTCCAAGTTTATAGATGGCGCTTTTTATTAACGGTAATAGTCCGCGAGATTCAAATTAATCGAATAATTAATTAAATTCAAAATAAAATATGAGAAATAATAAAAGAAAGAACACAGCACAATGAACAAGGGAAGAGAAATAACTTCACGGGCGTGAGAAAAACCGTTACAGAAAACATAAATGTCAAACACTTGAGCTTTGTTTCAATTATTTACAACTCTTGAAATTCGTCACGTAAACATTTTCCGAAAACCCAAATCTCGAAAGAAAAATACTCACTCAACAGAATGACAGTTAGAGTCATAAAATCTCCGTTCTGTGTATCATAAATTTTCTCTATTCCAACACGTGTGCTCTCCTTTGTTCATTGTATTGCCAGGCTGAGGGCCTGAGACCCTCCCAAGACGCAGAACGTGACGTCACACGCTCTCCTCAGCTCCTTTTGCCCCTTTTTCCCTTTCCCTATTTTCTTTTGCGCCTTGACTTTTGCCTTGGCTTCAGTTAAAAGCTTGCGTGCGCAACTTTTCGTTAAGTGGGGGTTGTTGGACCCAACCCTTAGAAATAAGTTTAAGATTAAGTCAGTCCCACCGTGGCTGTTCGATATAGCGAACCTCCAGCTTCTCTCTTCAAATTAGTTTTTCTTGAGTTCAAAGTTATTAATATAGAGTTTTCTAAAGTTAATGTTATCACGGTGAAGTTGAAGAAAAGTTGAAGTAGTGGAATAAAGTTTTGATGTGCTCTCCTAAGCACTTGTGTACTGGATTTATTTCAACGAATTAACCCTAATCCAATTATCCTGATTATCAACGAGTCGTCTTCGATGGAGTCCTCTTCAGAGGTTTAGCGGCTAACGGATCCAGATTCAAGTTTTGGCGCTGAAATAAAATCAACGGCGCTACTGTCCTCCTAGTAACATCGGTAGGACATAACAATTGGTGACAGCGGTGGGATAGGCGCATTCATCGAATGACATATGTTTGAATTTGGGAAATTCAAAACAATTTTCCTGTTTATGGAGAAACTGAGATGATGAGCCAAGCAGTGTAGCAGAGTTCCGGCGGTCGCAGCCAAAGGGCCAACGCAGAGTCAGATAATTCAGTGGGAAGAATCGAGTACAGTGTTTAATGAAGTGAAAAACAAATTTATGGGCAATCAGTGAATTGAAGTGAAAATTGAAGTGAATATTTAAATGATTGGATTATCAGTAATAATTGGAAAATTGTA